ACCGCATCTGGTGGTCCGTGAAGCAGCTCCTGCTGTTTCTTCTCGCCAATTTGAGAAAGCCGGTCGCCAGCGTCGTGTTGCGCCTTCAGGGCCGTGTGCAACTGACAGAACCCAACACGATTGCCGCTCGACTGGAAGCACCCACGGAGCAGCGCCTTAAATGCGCCTTCCATTTTCCGCCCCTCCTCAACATCAAGCGGTAGATATTCATGAGCCTTGTACTTGTCGCCAAGCGTTCGTCCGGAGATGCGTTCCCCGCTGTACTCCCCGTGGTGCCAGGGTTTGGTGTTCAACCACACCTCCCACATAATGCAGCCAAATGAGAACACGTCTGTGTCTGCACGAATGTCGTATCCAAGAAGCTGCTCCGGTGATGCCCACAGCGGTGTGCCGACCACCTTCGACACCACAGACGCATTCTCTGGCACGAACGCGCTCAGGCCGAAATCCGCCACCTTGGCGGAGAGCGATGCGTCCAGCAGCACGTTGGGCGACTTGAGGTCGCGGTGCACGACGTCGTGGGCGTGCAGGAACTCCATCGCAGCCGCCACCTCGCTCAAGATGCGCAGCTTCTCGACGTTGCTGATGTGTTTCTTGTGTACGTGGATGTAGTCGTACAGGGACCCGTTCTCTGCCCAGCTCAGCACGAAGGCAAGCGTGCTGCGATCGCTGTCATGACACAGCCCGAGAAAAGGCACGATGTTTGGATGGCGAAGTGAGGCAAGGACGGCCACCTCTCTCAGCACACGCTTGTCAGGTACACGCGACTGTGCCGCTGTTGATGTTGAAGTTGCTGTGTCGCTCATTGCTTCCAGCAGGTGCTGCAGTCGTGGTCGTTCTTCAACATCGTCAACTTCCTTCAGCGCCACGTCGTGCCCAGCAAACGTGCTGCGATACAGCTTGCCAAATGCGCCCTTGATGGGCTTGCCTTCGTGGTCTTTTGCGCGTTTCTTCTCCTCGAAGCGGGCTGGATTCAGGTCGAGATTGAAGAGGGACTCTACGAAAAGAAGGGAAACACAGCCAGGCGTGAGAGAATTGTGAACAAGGACAACACAGGCAGGCAAATATGTCGGCAGAGGAGATGAAAAAAAAGCACCTGTTGCTCGCGCAAGCTATTCCGTGCTCTCCCACACTTGGTGTTCTTCCCAAACCAAGCAGACTTAGAACACAGGCATGTGAGTGATGTCACAGAGTCACTCGAGATCACTCAGAGCGAACAGGCAATTTGCAGCATGTATCAGCACTCACGGAGCTGTGTGATTGTTGCGTCCTTCGTGCTCATAGCATCTGCATGTTCTGCGAGCTGGTCGCCTGAAGCAAAGCAGACACAGAACACAGGCGTGTGAGTGGTGCCACAGAGTCACTCGAGATCACTCAGAGGGCACAGGCAATTCGCAGCATGTATCAGCACTCACTGAGCCGCCTGATTGTTGCGTCCTTCGTGCTCATAGCATCTGCATGTTCTGCGAGCTGGTTGCCTGAAACAATGCAGATGAAACACAGGCGTGTGAGTGGTGCCACAGAGTCACTCGAGATCACTCAGAGAGCACAGGCAATTCGCAGCATGCATCGGCACTCACCGAGCCGCCTGATTGTTTCGTCCTTCGTGCCCAGCTCCTGCACTTGGTGTTCTTCCAAACCAAGCAGCACACATGAAACACAGGCGTGTGAGCGGTGCCACAGAGTAACTCGAGATCACTCAGAGGGCACAGGCAATTCGCAGCATGTATCGGCACTCACGGAGCTGTGTGATTGTTTCTTCCTTCGTGCTCATAGCATCTGCATGCTCTGCGAGCTGGTCGCCTGAAGCAGCGCACATGAAACAAGAGCGGTGAAGAAGCAGGTTTGCTGAGTGGCACACAGTTTCCGAGGCGATTAAAACAAGTCACCCCAGGCAGGGCTGAAACAGAACGTGTAGGCAGCGATCGGATGTGCGTCCTCGTCTGCACGTGAAGACTATGACAGGGCCTGACCAGTTCCTTTCCCACGCAAGGGGGACACAGTGACGTTCACGTATTTACCGTGTCACGAGCTCATGAGAGCAGTGTACAAGGCCGCTCAACAAAACAAACACCAACACCAACTTGTGAGGGTTTACCTTGCTTTTCCCGTTCAACGCCGCGTGTCAATTCTCGTTCCTCCGACCTAGAAGTGCCAGCCCAGACCAAAGAAAATTGAGTTCATCCGCATATGGGCGAGGAATGCAGGTACAACACACGACAGAGCATGAAGAAGCGCCACAGCTGTGAACGCACATGTACCACTGGACGTCCCGTGCTTCTGGCCACCCTGCACCAACTGCGTGGGCAGCAGGAACGCCAACGTTGATCAGCCTAAGTCGAGAGAACATGCGCGTGGATTCAAGACAAAAGCAGGCGAGGCGGCCGAGATGTAGTTATGATGAGCCGCTTGCATGGTGATTGTGGTGGAGTTTGTGATGCACCGCAACAACACGTTGGGCGCCAGAGAAGCAGGGAGAGCACATCACAAGCATGACCCACGCATGATTTTGACACACGGGTGAAACCCACAGAAGCTCCTGCAGTTCTGAGTGGTCACGCAGAGCCGTGGCCAACGCTTGACAGCCTTGAGTTCCAATCGGGTTGTTCCCAATGCTGCAAAGAGTGACACCAATGGCAATATACACGAAGGCGTGAGAAGGAGAATGGCGGTGGTAAGGAATGAACCCCAACAAGAAAGCCCACCACCGTGTCGCGTGCCTTGTTCCCTCAATGATCACACTTGGGATGACTGCGACGTATGCACTGTACTCAATTGACTGACTGCAGCTCTCGTAGATCGGTGTATCCTTGCAAGGCGTCAGCCAACATGACGCAGTCCTCAGATCCAATCAGGTTATCGTACAACCTGAACACGACAGGAACGCAAGTGCCCGTGTGTGTGTGTGTATGTGTGTATGTGTGTGTGTGCGTGTGTGTGCGTGTGTGTGTGTGTGGTGGTCGTGTGTGTGTGTGTATATACGTGTGGGTGTGCTCATCCCGCTGCCCCACACACGAAGACGTGCAGACACGCGGGCAGGGGGATGAGACAGGAACACTTGACCGCACGATGGACACTGGGGGATGGGCACCCGAGAGGACTTCCCGTGCATTTAGTTCAAAACGGTTACTCACCCAACCCCACTTGCCGCTCCGAGCCACTCAGCACCCATAGATATACTGTAAATCGGGATAAGATGAAAATAGGAGGGGTTATCAGGAGAAGAAGTATTGTGTTGCAGAGGAGAAAAAAACGGTGTTATTTGGTGCTGCGCATGGCGGTCGCTGGCAATATGTTCTTGCTCTATCAAGAATTAGTAGGCTGAGTTGGGTCTAGCTCCGGAGATGAAACTTGAGCT